CTCGGAGATTTTACGCAGCTCTTCTTAGAGGAAAGGCATGTGACAAGCCGAAAGATCTCTATATAGATCCCTTTGAAGAAACACGATTTGAGCACAATATTGGTCTATACATTTTTTGAAAGAAGTTCCTCTTATCGATACTGGAATGAAAATCCACTGATGACTCAGTTTACTTTTTATAACACAAGCTCCCTACGTTGTTTTTCCCATATTTCCTTTAAGAAATTGAATTGTTGTTGCATTTTTGTTATTTGATTTCTGGCATTCAACAATACATAGTTTATCAAGTCTTGTAAGTCGTGATCAATCCTGAGAAGACCGCCGGCAGGTGTGACTAACGCAATTCCTACTGCAGAAACCAATCTTGTGCAACAGGGACATTATGTGTCGACCGGTTCCGATGAAATCACATCGGCGGCCGATATTCTATCTATAAACATTCACGCGTATCCCCAATGGTAGTAGCGATGGACCTTGAAGAAGACGCTACCGCGAGGTGGGAGGGGGGCTGAATGGAGACAGACACGCATTCGCTTTTATCTGTGTTTGTACGATTGCTGTTGAATATATATATAGTTGTCGCTCTTCCCGCCAATTCTCTTCCCCCCTTTCCCTTTCACGGTATACAAGCTGAATCGCTTCTCGGAAAAGCTACACACGCTCTGAATGTAGTAAATGTTTTCACATTCGTCATCGTCGGAGATAACTTGGGGAAACACGATTGGTATACCTATTGTCTCATGTGAGATGTTCCATTTGGGATTCTGAGGAGGAGGACAGTGTTTCCCCCTTTTTGTTTTCTTTGTACTGTCCCCTACCAGATTGTCTTCATGTAAAATTGTAATTAGAAAAATGAGTTTACGTTTTGTTTGAGATATTATGCTTCAATTGGAAATGCTCGGACAAAAAAAACTATTTTGACACACTGCTTCTTAACAACATAGTCTAGAATAAAATTTCTGACAATTTTGAAACATTTGTAGTATAACCGCCCGCATTGAAGTCTTGGATGTTTGCAGGTTTTGCTTTGCCTTTGAGATGACTTCATCTCCACAATGCATCTAATTTAGTATCTTCCACCTCGTTTTTGTCTGGTCCTGATTGGCGAAGGTTCCACCAGTGAGAAAGTTATCGAAGTACTTGGAAAAGATGGTCGTTGATTGGCTAAAGGTCTGAGGAGTATGGTGGCTGAGGCAGAACTCAATTCGTTCAATTTTCGGACGGTGATTTGTTAAACGTGCGGACGGACAATGTCGTGGAGCAGGATCGGACCTCTTCTGTTTCGGTACATTGCGTTGACCAACCGTTGACCACATGACATTAAAACGGTTAAAACTTTCGAAACAACGTAATAATACAATACAAAAACTACTACTACAATTTTGAACTACCTTCATCAGATGCTCACCATAAACGTTATTTCATTAAGACCACATTGATTTTTCGACATATTTTTCACTATTAACTGAGCAAAAAAATTAACAGAAACTGATAATATTAATTTTACGAGGGGAAACTGTCGCTGAGTTGCAACTCCTTGATGATATTTTTTGTTTTTCGTTGCAGCTGAAACTTTCTTGCTATATTTTTGTTAATATTGTCGTTATCGTTTACAATTAGTGCGTTTTACTACGAAGTACAGGAAACCGCGTGGCCGATAAAACTTCTAGTTGATAAAGAGCGGCCGTTAGCAGGAAGTGATAGCTATTTATTTAACTACATTGTTAATAGAAAAGATTTTTTAACAACAGATAGTAACGGCATTTTGATTGTTCCATCGTGGCATCTTCTCGTAGAGGGGTCAATGTTTGAGGAGAAATTTACCAGTATAATAATATTCTTTTAAATCGAGTTACTGGGTTTTATGTATGTTCCAGTCGAATAAAATGTTGCTTCATCTGAAAAGTCTTTTCATTTTAATCAAGAGTTCCGTCATTGCCTTATACGAGTAAAAATGCAATCGTCGATCAAAATCAACTTCAGACAATTTTTGTAACAGCTGCAGTTTTTGTGGGTGCAATTTATGCTTGTGAAGCTTGAAAACTGTATTTTTTTACGTACTGATATATGAAGAAATTTCTACTCATTTGTTGGTGATCAGTAACCTCCGTTTCAGTAGTTGTTGGTTTCTGTATCAACGGTAACTGTACAAAATGCCAAATGCCATGGATCCAACATTTCTTTCCAGAACCAATTTTTCGATTTCAGTCTAAAGTCTTCCTTTTTGAATCTCAAATAGTAACAGGCTATAGGAAAAACCTTTTGGCTTTCAACTACTCAATCATTATGAAAAACGTGGAAAGAAGAGAGTAATTCAAATAATGTCAAAGCTAGTGAAAGATGTCACTGAAAAAAAACACCTGCCATTTTGTCACAATTGAAGTCAGTAAATATAATCCTAGCTATAGAAATTTAATTTAGTTTTCGATACGAATTCAACCATTACTTTTGGAAAGTCGTCTATCACATTGCAACAATTCGTTACAAATTTCTTTCCTTACTTTATGCTCTTTTTCGAATAACATTTTTTTAAAAGGCAAGGTAAACGATTTCTTCTCTTCATAAGCTGTGTTTCAATGTTCCAACTCCAATACGAAGTCGGAATAATTCATAAAATTTTCAATTCTCACCCTTTCCGCTGTTGGATCGAGCCAACCCGATAATGACACGGCCCGTCCGGACACCGTGAGAACCCCGAGTATGACCCAGGGTGAGTAATTGAGCCTCGAAAGACACACGTGTACGCTCATTACTATTATTATTCATGATCGAACGGGGCTCCTTAACTTATGCGGCGTGACCTCAACTTGTCCGTTCGCTCCACGCACAAAGACATCCCCATTTCGAGGGAGAAAGAGGTGCTCGCTGATGGACGTCGCTCGTCATTTGCTGACAGTTATAGTTTGCGGAAAAGGGTGAGGAACAATCGAGTGAAAGAAAGGAAAAAAGTCCGAAGATTAATTGAGGCTTTGTCCGGTGCACCGGTTTTCTGCAGAAGCGAATTCGGTTACGAGTCATATTTGGGGTTATTATCACGATCGGGGGTTGTTTTATTCGAAAAATTTGCTAATCTTTCGTTTCACAGAACTAGAAACGACTAGGGTTCGGCTAGAATAATGGGAGAGATTTACTGTGAAACTGTTTCTACGGTTGCAGTTTTGAATATTTGCCGGACAAAGAAAGTGACTGTAAATGATATGAATCTGACAGGCCTTATGATTTTTAATAGTGATAGGGTTGCGTTACCAAACAGGTTATGTCTGAAACCGTTCTTGAAGTCGCGAAAGTTTTCGAAATAACTTTAAACGTTCAATGCTGCCCAATATTTGGAAAAGTTTCATTAAATATGGAATAAAATATATCTACTATACTCGTACATCGTAACTAATCCTTTTTTTTGACATATAATGGGATTTTTTGAATAATGAACTTTCACACAAATAATGAACTGAGACACAAAATGTAAATTAACACTATATTAGAGTAGTTGGAAACGAGAACGGACTGTAATGATCGAAAAGACCGAGAAGCCCATGAGATAAAACCACGCTAGATCAATCAGTCTATTAATTCGAATCGTAGTTCTCACGTTATGTTAACAACAAACAATTCGTCATCCAGATGACCTACTTCATATCCGGGTAGGGTGAACCAACTCTCTCCTGTAAGGTCTTTTTCGACAAGGCCCCACACAGTCCGGTGTTGCCGTTTTGGTTTTTTGGTACTGAATGAGGTACATGTTGTAATACTTTGAGATACTTTTTTTAGTACGCCTTTTTAGCATGTTTTTTATATTATTTATGGGACTGGTCACGTGAAATTGTTACCTGATGATGCAAATAATATAAGAGTAATTTTCGACATGAAATCATTCATACACAGTCATTTCTACGAAACAAAACTGATTGTTTTGTTATTTGTTGGGTTAATTGTCACTTAGTCTTCTAACAACCTAACACAACCCAACTTTTGATTGATAAGAAAATCGTTTTATAAACTCAAAAATATATTTACCTAACCAAAGTTTCTGCAAAAACAACTGAATAGTATTTTTATATATTTTCTCCAACAAATGTAAGTATTTTATGTTCGTTCCATTGTTTATAGACTTTTTCTTCGCACTCCCTCTAGTATTTTCTTCAAAGGGTTGCGGCAACACTGCTTGGTACTACTACAGGGGACGTTGACTTTACACGACATGTACTTATAGTAAACAAATGGGCTCGACACATGTGCCTGTTTTTTTCCTCTTCTCTGTTCTTTTTCTTGCGCGTTCGATTGTTTACTACTACAATGACGCAGGAGGAAATCGGATACCCGGTCGTTCTTTCGTGTGTTGACGTTCGAGAAATTTTTTTCTGTTTTTTCCCGATGGGCGTGGGAAAGTGACGGGAATATTCTTGCGACGTGTTGAGAATATAACAGGGTTGAAAAATGTGCTACTTTATGTATGAATTATTTTTCATTGTTGATTTTTTTTGTTTGAAAAATGCTCTGGCCTCATTCAATTTCCCATTTCCCGATATTTTTGTAATTCTACACAACCCAACTTGTTCAGTTTTTTTTTAATTTCGAATGTATCTTACAAATTACATTCATCAAACAAATGAATTGATAATGAACCATATAGCACATTTGACATTTCGACAAAATCTTTTAAAAAAGTTCAAAAGTATATCGACATCTCCAAATATTTCGTTTCAAATTCATGAAAAAATTCGTCATTTCGACTAATTCGTAATAGTTCTTGTTTGTTTCAAAGGAATACTGAGATTTTCAATAAATTTTATGTTTGTAATATTTTTACTTGTAAACGTTATTCAAAATATAACATTATAAATGTGTGAATACAAAAATATGATTTACTTTGAGCTCTGGCGAGTACCTTCTTGCTGGTTTTATCACTGAGGTTCAAAATGTTCATCTCTGAAACCACTTCATGAAAATCTGCCTCCCAGAAGCAAATTTCACCGATGACTAACGTTTGTTTTTTGTTTCAGATTTCATGCCCATTAAAAAAAGATCACTGTCTGACTGCACGAAAAAGACCGAATGGGCATCCACCATGGAGAGACCGTCAAAAATACCTCGACTCTCCGATCTGAGTAGTTAAGAAGAATGCACGGAAATTGAAACCATCTTCCACTTTGTTATAAACTCGATCTCGAAGTAATATCTATTATTATTAATGTAAAGTACAATTTAAGTTTTTTTTCTTGAAAGAAATTTAATTAATTATAAGTTTTTTTTGTGTACAGTTTAAGTACTATATTTTGTTTTTTGTCTTTATATGTATTTATTTTAACGTAGAATTTTGTTTCTTTCTTTTGATCTCCAAAATCTTTTCATTTTGTTGGTGGTTTTTTCACGTGGGTTACCCAGTTCAACGCTTGATCTGCATTCTGGCGGGAATACGGTGACTTTGTCGTCAAAATAACGGCCAAATCAGGGTAAAGAATATTTGAATTAAAAAAAAAACATTCGATTCAGCTACACCGAATATCGAAATGTTTTTGAATATTTTCCCGGTAATCGGTAACTAATTCAGTGTTCTTGCATCACATAAAACAGCTCTATCTATCACATACTACAGGTGAAAAAGCTCTAAAGAAAATATTGGGACACAATAGAACTGTGACAACACTTTTCTTGACACTCATTGTAAATGCATCATCAAATGATATAAAAACTATTACTGAGTGTATTTATATCTAATCTAAGATGAACTTCCACGATGAGTCATACATCATGCTTGCATTTGAAAATACCATAATTATTCTGTGTACAATTTTGGAAAGAATCCCTATTACTTTTCATAGTTCTCACGCCTCAAGAATCTAGAAGTTTACTGTCATGCATACCACACGAAAAAACTAGAGCACGCTTTTTCTCGACGCGTATTTTTTTCACCTCCTGATGATGCCAACTTGATGAGCGAAACGAGCTTCGAGAAAGAACACCCTAACTCTGGTGTGCCGAAAAAGTAATATAAGTGTCATATACCGATTTCAATTCAAAGTAAAGTTTTTTATTCCATGTCCATTCTCCTAGATAGTTTGGTTGTATAAATATAATAATGTCGTACGATCTTCGAAAATAGTTTGTGTAACTGGTTTAGTTTGACCAACGTATTCTTTGTCACAGTCGTCACAACTTATCTCATAACTCATTAGACCAAAAAAAACCCACGTTGGTCAAAATAAACGAGATATCAGAACTTGTTTCAAAGCACATTTTCCATTGCAACTTTTGAAATAAAAAAGTGCTTCATTAGAACTATGAACAGTAACAAGGCCATTCGAAAATGAATATTTTTCATAATAATTATTTTTATCAAAATCCACTCACGAATTTCAATTAGTAATTGAGAAATCATTACGCATGATGATGTAAAAGAGAAACGGAAGGTTTACCTTTTTAGAAAAGTCTGAAAACATCCAGATACCTAATGAGACGAATCTGGTGAAACGCGCTTTGAAAAATGTGTCGCAGTTGGGTTGTGTTGAAAAAGTATTTTCGTTAGATTCATTTCACATCATAGGTTCCAATTCCACATGTAAATTGAAAAATTATTAATATTTATTGTAATGCCATGCCTTCACTTTAAACCTATATTTTTGAACATGTATTATTTATTTTAGGATTAATGTTAGTTTTAAGTCGATTCAAGGAAGTTTTGTACAGAAATTTTTGTATTCTAAATTTGCGTTAAACTGAACTCGTGGCATTTCATCGAACGATACAGTCGACCGATGTGCAATTTTGGATTTGAAGGTCCCTTGTAAATATGGAAAAAGTCGATGTATCGCTCCGGAATTGACAAATAAAATATTCAAAAACATTTTTCAATAAATCACAATATTCGACTGTTATTTTGACGACACATCATAAAACATGTTTTGCTACTACAATCTGGTTAACGAGATTTTTGGTTTCTAAAATCGCAAATGAATTTTCAAAAAACGACCAGTTAGTATGTAATGAACATGTGATATATTCAGGTACAAATCATGGTCTTTTAAAGATTTTTTTTATAAATATGAGGCAGTGGAAGTTGGAAATGTATATTATATTTTTTCTAACTAGATTATAGTGTGTTAGGGTTTTCGTTTCGATTATCTTCTAGCCAGGTAAAAGTGTTTGCAATGATGCAAAATTCTTTTTGAATATAGGAAATACTCTGGAATAATCGAAAATGTCCGTGTGAGAGTGACGTTTACGATGAATTATATTTCGTCAATTATCATTTTGGAGTACTCAAAATGCTGTTTGTTTATACACGTTTTCGAAAGATCAACATGAGAAAATTGTTCAAAAACGTTTTGATATCAAGGAAAAAATAGATTGAGAACTTGACACAGCTGTTTTTGTGAATCTTTTCGCAAAATATTCTGCTGTGATTTTATTCCAACTAACTGCTTGTGTTGTTACCCCCAATTTTTTCTTTGATATCTCAGGAAGTGTAAAAATATTCTTTTCCTAATTTTTGAACTTGAGTTTTTTCGTATATTCAACGTGAAATTATTCACCAAACGTTGGGAACTAATTTGATTTGACGGATTATCAATGGTATATATAGCCCAAAGAAAAATTGAGTACAAATTTTTTCCTCTTTTCTTCAGTGAAAACAAATAAATGGAACGTAAATCGTATTTTGGCAGCTGTTGCTGCTCTGTCGATACGTATATTTGGATGGAAAGGGCTTTTGTGGTTTAAGAATTCACAGTCTATTGTTTCGGGACGATGATGGAAAGTCGAGTTGTAAGATTTTTTTGAAAATGGACAATGATTCGCTCAGTCCAGTACATTCTGGCGGAATGAACAAGTTCGTGTCAACAGAAAAAATGTCTCATTGATGATGCTGGAAAAATATCCTTTATCGACGTGCCAAAAAACTAATCGCGTGTGGGTAGACAACCAGCTGGTTGGAATTCTAAATACGTTTTGAATTTTTGCCAAGCGATTTCAAGACGGTTATTTCACCACAATTAACATGAAGCACAGCACAGATAATAATCACAACACAAGTTATTCAGAACCGTTACTAAATAAAACAAAGATATAATTGTATGCAACATATAAATTATTCTCCATTTTATTTCTCATGCATTTTTTTTTTGGAAATCCAAAATCTACAGTTTGATGTGGCAGAAATTGTTCATAAGATAATCTTTGAGAAAATTTTTCAAGAATTATATTCCCAGTGCATCAAGTTTACTCGGTTAAAATGTGTAAGAGACTTGAGTGTCTAATAATTTGATAAAATCTCGAGCAAAACTCAAAAAATAATTGAATTTCATGCTTGGTAATAGAGCTTAAAAATACGAGGAATATATGCTCAGGTCATTTCCAGAAAAAAGTGGCATTGTGGAAAATAATCTTTCATTAATTTAAAAACTAAAATCAATTTTATCAAAAACAACAGACTGTCATTGTATCGTTGATTTGTTCTAGAACTTGTTCATTCTGTTCGTCAGACTTCGAAAAATTTCGACTCGTTTGGTTTTTGTAGGTTAGATGTTTGCTGTTCGGTTATTTCGAGACGAACTTATCGCAGAGTTGAGATCTCTACAATTCTGCTTGAGGATTTTGAGATATTAAATGAATAATATATTTTTCAACATCTGTGATGTTTAGAATATGATCTCAAAATATAATTTTTATATATTCTATAAGTTGAAAAATCCTTTCGCCGAAACGTTGCGACAATGTCTGGGGTTGAAAACGCCGTTCGCACCGTTTCGGTAAGACTTTTTCTACTTCGAGTAGTGTAGAGTTAATGTAAATTTGTTGTAAAAAAATAACATAAAATTATATGCGGAGCATTGAAATATAGCTTCGATTTGTTAGTGTATTCTGGTGTTTTATTTCAATTCCTTTTTTTACCTGAATTTCAACGATACTGGTTGAGCACATCGTAGTTATAATTGACCAAAAACTCACTTGGAATGATGAAACCAATTATTTTCAAAGCTACATCGGAATCCTAGATACTCTGTAGAAATCAAAATGAATCTGATGGTCCTAGCAAATATAGATAATTAATCTGTCACTGACTTACTCATGAGATGACTAAAATGCACCTCGGTTCATATTCCATAATATGTCTTTGTAACGAAAGAAGCAGCAATCTATTTACAGGGGTGCGCAAAAGTCCGGAATAAAATTAATGTCTTTTTAACCAGTATTTTAGGAAAAAAACGCTGATACACGTCAGTTGATTTCACGTTGTACGCTATAGTGCTATATACGGGTGAATTAACGTTGCAAAAAACAAATAAGTGGTGATGCTGTACATTGCTCAACAAGTGCTAAGGATCACCAGTACCTACTTTCTAAAAGTTTACAAATTTTGAGAACAGACCAACCGGGCCAGGCACTACAACAAATTTTATTGATTTATGTGTGAAACTGATAACGTAATGTAGCATCAACATTCTGTGGATTTTATTTGTTTACCAAAAACTTACACATGAAATTAGTTCCATCCCAAGCATTTGTTGACCAGTGTACCTCAAAAAGAGAAAAAGGTTGTTGCATTTTTTGTACCAAAATGAATGCACTGATAAGAACTATTGTCTTGACTCAGTTTTAAAATTGTGGCATTTCTGGGTGAAATTGAAAATATGTATGTTTAGTTTATTAATTGGGTACCTTCAAAGTGTTCTTTTTAATTTGGTATTGTCAGAGAGGCAGAGTATCGAAGTCTTGATGTTGGGATGTGGAGATAGAATGCGGAGTCAAAGTGAGGTATGTACTTTATTTAATGCAAAATATCCTTTCCCAGGCTACTGTGAGTAAGAACTTACACAAATTTGAAGAACATGGTATAGTGAAGGACATGCCCAGAAGTGGCCGGCCACATTAGACGAAAATAAAAAATTTGACATGGCCGTATCTCTGCAGGAAGATCCACATTTGTCAACGGTTTCATTAGCCCAAAACAATCCTGCGTCTAGACGTACGATTGGGAGGTTTTTGAAAACAGAAAAATACCACCCATATAAGGGCTCTTGGAAGAGCCCTTATATGGGCCCTTCCAAGGCTCAAGAGCTCTTGGAAGATGACTATGACAGGCGTTTGCAATTTTGTGAGGAAATAATGAGGCGATGTGACGAGAATAATGGGTTTCCACTCAACCTACTCTTTCGAACGAAGCTACTTTTTATTTACATGGACTAATTAACAGGCACAACTATCGATTCTGGAGTCAGGAAAATCCACACTGGATATGCGAAGCTCGTACGCAGCGTACTCAGAAAGTAAATGTATGGGCAGGCATCATCAACAACAGAATATTAGGGCCATACTTTTTTAGGAAAACCTTACAGCTGCACGCTACTTAGACTTTTCACGCTTTGAATTAGTCCCTGCTTTAGCTGTTATGTTTCCCAATGAAGCAGATCGAGATATCCCCACTGAAACAGTTTGGTTCCAACAGGCCGGCGCTCCCCCACTTTTTGGTATTCATGTCAGAGAATATCTCGATGACATTTGCAGGACGCTGGATTGGACGACGTGGTACAATTGAATGGCCGCCAAGATCCCCAGGCTTAACGCCACTAGATTATTTTTATTGGGGATATATGAAAGACAAGGTTTATCAAAATAGGCCGGCTAATATTGAAGATCTAAAAAACCGGATTAGAGTGGAATCACATAACATACCGGCTGAGGCCATTCAGAATTCCGTAGACGGGTTTTACCATCGCCTAGGAGCCTGCCAAGTAGAGGGTGGAGGCCAATTTCAGCATCTGTTACGTTAATTCACCTGTAGATAGCACATGCGTGGTAACCGCATGAGTAAAACAAATAAAGGGTATGGTCAGATTCCATTTTTACGATCTTTTCAATGAGCCCATACACGACATAGGTTTGCATTTGAAAAAAAAAAGTTGGGGAGGGTTGCAGCTAAGGGGTTAAAAAAAATGCATTTTATTGCCAAAAAATGCGTAAAACGTGAAATCAATCAACTGACGTGTATCAGCGTTTTTTCTAAAATACTGGTTAAAAAGATATTAATTTTATTCCGGACTTTTGCGCACCCCTGTATAGGTGTATATATAATGGAATTGACAACGAAAATCCATAACGTATTCAAAAAACACTTTATTGTGAGATTTTCACTAAACACTTTTACAAAAACGTAACACGTGTTTTGCCATACAATGGCTCATTCGGGCGTGAGAAAAAACGCCCGAAAAAGTCATTGTATGGCTTCACTAATCTGCTTTGCTGAACCCAAGCAATCTGTGTAGACATATGAAGTCTCAGATATTGCACTAGATACATTGTTACGTTATGACTACCATTTGAGTAAGGTGTGTCGTATACAGATGGATTCAAATTTGATGTAGAGGTTGGACCCGGACACAATAGTAGAAAATGTGAATTAGAAACTACCTTCATCCATCTGTTTAATCGCCGAAAATCTCGACTGAATTGGCTGAAAAAGTCCTGCCCAGAATAAAATTATTCAAAAATTACTTCGAACATTGACTCTTTTCTTCTATGAACAGAAGTAGTGGTGAAGAGTAGTTAATCTAGTATGATATCAACAGAAAGAGAGAAAAAAACGAAATAAAAAATTTAAAAAAAATATATAAGCTTATAACTTGAAAAATAAGTTGCAGATCTATTACACACAGATGTTGGTATATTTGTTACAGTCAAACCAGTTCCATTTAGTTCATTAAAATTCCTCACATGCATTTTTTATATGAACAAGATGCACTCTGATTATTACTGCCATTCTGAATTTATATTTGGTTTATTGAATGTAAAACAGAAACATAAGTAATACTGAAGATTTAGATCTACATATGAAAAATTGAGATAGTTATAATACGCAAGTATTGGAAGAGAATTCCGCTCTTGTTACAATGAAAGTTCATATGAACTTTCACCCGATTAGTTAATTTATTAATGTCCGAAAGAATTTCATTTGAATTTAAACGCCATGAGAAACGCCTTATTCCAAAACCACGAAGTCCTACCAAGAATTTGATAGATTTTTATATAAGTGAAATGTTATACCAATATTTTTCATGTATTACCTTGATACTTTGAATAGGGTTCCTGTGAATGATTTCTGTTTCAATTCCATCACGAATGTATGGACTAACTGAATAAGAAAAAATGGTTTCCATGTAATTCAATGTTCTTGTTTGAAATATTTCGGACATACTTTTCCTTCCAATTTGGACCTATCTTCTTTCTTTGGAAGTGTCGCACATTTTTTGTTCAATGAAGAAGTAGGAAGGCAAAATTCTGTTTGTCCAAGAAACTAATTTCTGTTAGAACTAACCCCCTTTCTAATTCAGTTGACTTCTATTTTGTATACATTCTTTGAAAGACTTTCTTGTCAGGGTCATAAAATTTGCAATTGCAGCTTTTGTTTCTGTCGAGGCGAGCATTAGAAACGGAACCAGATCGGTTGTCGCGACCTTCAGGGTCACTCGGCTCCGGTGTCGCATCATTCAAAAGTGAAACATGCCACAAAGCCTTTATTTATGTTAGCTTTTCTAGAACGCATTCCCATGAACGCGATCAAAAACTCACATAGCGGTTCTGTTAAAAGGGGAGCAAAACCTTTTCGAAAATAGAGGATTTCTTCATCGTGAAAAAACTTTAGGAGGATCAAGTTTGATGTTTAAAAATTGAAATTTAAAAACTTTGGATTGAGATTAGATACTATTTAGAGAAAGAAATCGAACTAAAATAAATATTTAACTTTTTATTCAAACGTCAATAATTATATCGGACTGATCAAGTTGATGACGTTTTTCTTCGATCTAAGTGACCTCGTCAAAGAGGACAAGGTAAAAGTTGAAGAACAGTAATCCACCAATTTTGTGGTCAGAACAAATAGAAATCGTAGTAGAAATCAGACGAAAGCTATTTCATTTATCCTATATCTGATTTAATATATCAAGAACATCAGTCTAATAACAGAAATATTGTTTTTTAGATCTATTTTCTACATTCCCCAAATTATAAATTCGTCAGATCAAGTTTGAACATGAACTATGATTGATAGTTATACTCTATTTTTGAGAGTTAGAAATACAGCATGCGTGTCTTTAGTACCAGAAGTTATTTCACACTCATGATCTAGAGACATTGAAGCTTCTTGAATCCATACACACAAGAAAAATTTCGTTTTTTGCCGATCCTTCGTTATGGACACTGAAAGTTAAAAATGTTTGGTCAAATTATTATTCATTGGTAAGAAATCTTCATTTCGCAAAATATCGTCATAATAAATAGGGATTATCGAATAGATCAGGTATATATCCATACAATCCTATATTTTTTGAAAGTAATTCCCTAACGGAATCAAAATATAAAGCAATATATAACAAAAACACTTTGATACATTACGTTTCTAATGAGGACCTCGATTTTTCATTCAATCAGGAAGAACATCGCCTTAAAAAGGAGCTGAAAAGACATTATTTTGATCGGTTAGCTATTTGAAGATGCATATTTTTTCAAATGTTGAAGTTTGAAACATGAACCCTGAAACCCACACACGACGTTCCGTTTGAGGTCGACAAAGAAACTCTTCGCAAAACTCAAAAATCTCCCACGCGACACCTGCGAAACCAAACGAGCGCATTAAGTTAAATGGCGTTTTACAGCCGACCGTTCTCCATTGTTTTTGCAGCCCGACGTGACACGGAGAACAGAAACAGAGTGACCCTGAAGGTCGCGACACCTGACCGTTGCTGATGCCAACGCGAAAAACAAAAGCTGCACTTGCAATTTTCCACAGCCGCCTCTCGACAGACGATGTGTGCGACTTTCATAATGGAACAATAGATGCTGAAGGTGACTCGAACGTACTTGTGT